TTAAAACTGTCGGGATTGGTGTACTTGTAACAAATTGTCTAATTAACACGACTTAAAGTATGAAGTCAAGTCTGCCTTATCTGCTTCATACTTGGATATTTTACTGACTGTAGGCGTTAATGGCGAACTAGCAACTGTATGGCAAACTGGAGGAGTTCAGCTTTTCCATCGTCAACTTTCCCTTTTTAGGTGTCAATATTCCACAATCATATGCATAAGGTGTTTATATCTCCCAACCGATTCGATACTCTGGGTACAATCAATTTCAAAATCAGATGCAGGTTACAGACAAATAAGTTGATGTAACAGGGTTTTCAATTATCATTTAAAGTCAGCATTCCCATTTAACGTTGGCAGATTCTTTGGTTGTTTATAATGTCTGTTTATGAATAGAAACCTATCTTGGAGTCGTATTTCGATTGACATGTTTTCCACCCATTCTTAGGTCATTGTTTTATACCATTTGGTATTATACCATATTTCAATAAACTGAATGTCATGTTTTATGAAATCTGAAGTAATCAGAACCTCAGTACTTTTGTCTGAGAAGGGTAAATAACATACATGTAATTTGTTTACCAGTGTTTCCCCCCTGTTGTTTAAATAAGGCAAAGTTACTGTTCATATTACTGTAATGTTAAATCAGAAGCTAAGAATGCTGCAACCAATTAGAAATATAATTGATAAATAATCCTATAATAAAAGTTCATCTATAAGACAAACCAATGCCTCAATAAACTGCTCCAGAATAAAATGTTTCCATTTTTCACGGTCTGTAAAGTTTACGAAATGATGATAATGGTAATTTAAAACTTTATAGCGAATCAAAGTAGAGGAGTTACAAAAAGGGTTACGAATACAGAGGATGCAAACGGAATAATCTAGTGTCAAATTTGGGGATGATGCATGCTAATCAATAGGGCTTATTTCAAGAATTTTTTGAAGTGCATGTTTGAAAGGAAATTAAATATTTGAAATACATTGAAACAGGGTATTACTTCGCCATTATATTATGTTAAATATGCGATAACGTACAGTGATCGATCAAAAAAAAAAATAAAAATCAAACATTATTAACTGTGAACAGGGCATAAAACACTGACCCTTGAAATTCTAGAGGTGAGATCAGTGGTCTAAGAGGAGTAAGCATCCCTTGTCGACCGGTCACACCTGCAGTGATCCCCCAGTATTGATCAGATAGAATGAATATCCCGTCGTCAAATTTAGTATAAAAATAAAAAGTCCTAACAGTTGGTATGAAAAACTCACCCAAAATACGACCCAGTGATACATGTAGTTTATAGGTAGCCATCAAGGTCATTAAAACGACCATAGAATTTACGAAATGCTAACTTTAATTTATCAGAAAGTGTGGCGGTATATACAATTTATAATCCAATTTTCCAATTCTTCTCAAATACATATCCTTTATGTGCTATGCTAGGTGAATTTACACAAATTAGATGGAAGAGAGTGCCCATAATCCAGTGTTTCAAGTCTTAAAGTGAGCAGGAAGTTGTAGCTATTCGGTCATCTTCTCGCTCTCCAGGACTTAGGATAAAAGATATTAATTAAACACAAATGTTAACCTTGTTTGGTTGAAATTATAGTCAAAAGAAATTTGATTAGTAACATGAATTTTTTGTATTTAGCAAGGATTTATTTTTGCAAACAGTGTCCCTTTTGCAAGATGTCGTGAGTGCCTAGAACCATTCATTTTCTTTCTCTCTCTCTCTCTCTCTCTCTCTCTCTTTTTTTTTAACAAAAAATAAGCAATCTACAATGAAAATGTGTTTTTATTAGCAAAAATTTGTTTATTAACTTTTAAAAAACAAGATTTTTGTTGAAATTGCAACATTTCTACCAAATAATATATTTGTTCAACTTATTATGAAATTTAAGTAGTATGATAAGATATAATTCAAACATATTGAGATGTTGGAGGTGCATAGAACTATTCATTTTTTTCTTAAATTACACAAAAAATAAACAGCTTACAAGGAAAATGTGTTTCTTTCAGCATTTCAGCAAAAATCTTGTATATTTTACATCAAATATTCCAAATTTAAAAAAAAATATATTTATACAAAATTGCAACACATTTACATATACATGTAATATCTTCAACAATAATGTTTAATATTGACATCTTAAATTTAAGCAGTGTGATTACATATGTCTGAAACGTATTTCCTGATGTTTGAAACAAATTTCACTCGTTGATGTTGATGTTACAAGGATTTCAACAACCCCGTTTAAAATTAGCTTTTTGCTAATTCTGATTAGCTATAATAACCTTGTTTGCAATCTCAATCTTTCGTTATGTCGTATTTTGTCTGACATGTCGCATACCATCTGATAGGTCATTGTTTTATACTAAATTTGACTACGGAATACTACGTCTACCTGATCAATATAGGGCTAACGGCGGGTGTGACCGGTCGACGTGGGATGCTTGCTCCTCCTAGGCACCTGATCCCACCTCCATGGGTCTGTGTTTTGCCCTGCATGTTCACGATGCATTTTGTTTACTTGATTTATGAGATTGTTCACTATTCGGTATCTTCACCTTTTACATTAAACATATACTGAAAATCTTCACGTTTAAAACTTATTTTCAACACACTCTTACGAAAATATGTTCCAAAACATATCAAACCACTGAGCTAATTTCGACTATTTTTTGTATGCAGCATCAATTGATAAAGTGAAACAAAGATTATGAATTTCATGGTGTCTGTCTTCCTGGGCTAATAAGTTTATCAAATATTGAAAATAAATTATATCTTACAGTTTATTTTTAACTACTCATGGAATTTAGCAGAAAAATGGTTTTCATGATTAAAATGATTAATCAACCATCCTTTTACCAAAATTGGGAAATTCATACCCTTTTGGCCCATGGTTCAGACTCTGGGATGGGGCTTAGTTTGTCATATATTGAAAATAAATTACATCACTGAAAATCATCTACAATCAATGACATTCAGTGAGCAATCTACATGTATTTACATGATTATGATAAACATTTAGTCCTCTACAAAAATTTTGAAATTCACTCCATCCCCAGCAAATGGGTCAGGCCCATTGTAGGGTTAAATTGAAAATACAGTATGAATTTGACGATCTACTTTTCAAAGGACATTTAGTTGGCAAACTGATGATATGATTACAATTAATGCATAACCTTTTGCCAAAATTGTAAATTCAAGTCCTCTGGATTCAGTGTTCAGGTCAAGGATGAGGCCAAGTTGGTCATATATTGAAAGTACACTACATCTTTGAAAATCTTATTTAATAATAGACATCTGGCATACAAACTTTTTGAATGATTGTAATTAACAATTGGCAGGATCTTTATTAACACTTAGCCCTCTATATAAAATGTCAGATTTATGGTTCCTGACCCATTGTTCATGTTCCAGGGTGAGGTTAAGTTTATCATATATTGAAATATATTTCTTTGAAATTTTTTATCAATACTAATGGATATGTGGTATGTCTATTGCTTACATGATTAGATAAGTAGCTAGTCCTCTACAGAAATAAAATCCGGATCCCCCCAGGGTCGTCAAATAATAAAATCAAATCATTGCTGTGACAACATTCATTTTAACAGTTTAATATTAGTTTCTATTATTTTACTTTCTCAAAAATGACATCCTTCAATTTTCGATTGTTACTTGAACGAAACGAAATAAATTCATGATTAATAAACAATCAGCAAAGTTTAATCTTACATATACAATGCTTGTTTTGAAACAGATTATTATGTATCATATAGAAATCAAATTAAACAGAATTTACAAAGTTATCCATTACAGTTGCATTCTTCTATAAACTCACTCTCATTGGTTGTTATTAGCTTTCTCTCATTGGTTGTTATTAGCTTACTCTCATTGGTTGTTATTAGCTCACTCTCATTGGTTGTTATCAGAAATTTTAGCGGTATATATACAGATATACTTCAAACATCTGCATTATTTTCTGTATTTGTATAGTTCAAATTCCCCTTTTCCTTTTCAATTCCCAATTATCATTTTCTAGATTGTCTTACTCGTGATCTAATGCATTGTTGTCAGCTCTATACGTGTTCTAAGGAAGAAAAATTTCGTTCCACCTCTCTAATCCGAGCTGATCCAACCACTTCAGATTCCTACTACAATGTAGCCGATTTAACAATATCGGGATCTCTTACGTAAATCAATATTCGAAATAAATGTTAAAACATAGATTGTAGATTGAAAGTAACTTAGGTATGATATATGCCTCCTCCAATTCTGGAATATCAGACAGTATTTGGTCCTGCCTCAATCTGTGCTTTTTCATTCAGAATTGTACTTGACACATATATCATTTTAAGTGTACGTAACCTTAACGTCTTTACTCCTGTAGTTCTAGGAGATAAGTTACAATGAGTATGATAATAATGACAGAGTTCTGACCAAACTATAAAATGTTTGCCCAGTTCCAGGTGGACTCAAAGTGGACATAGGCCGAGAAGCTCATGATACTTAGTTTGGAATCTATTGCACTTTGTTCTGAGTTTTGTGAAAGACGAAGAATATCATTTGTCTAAAATTAAATTCAAATCATTAGAAAGGAATCTGAGGTTAATTAACAAATCGATTATCTTGGATTAACCTGTATTGTGTTAATATTGTTTACTTGAAATTGATATTTGATTTGAAACAAACATGGCCATACTGGCTTAATCATGATCTATCATGTTATTTTAGGGAAAACCCGGAAAGTGGGCTAGGATCCTTATCATGCCCTGTTTATTACATGAATACGTTATTTGTCTTGTTCCTGTATCTTAAATAAAATCTTTTTAAAAATTGTCATACCCCGGTGTTTACTCCTTGACATGCGATACCAGTAACTCTCAGGGTTAAGATTTGTCATATTTGATATCACTTTATTCACAACCCGAACTTTATTTGTAATCATTGATGTAGCTGTTTTATATGTTCTTACAAGATAAGAAAGAATTATACCTTTTTACGATTCCTTGTTCTGGTTACTTCCTGTCTATCCAAAGATTGTCCTGGAGCTTTCGTCCCCCATATTCTATACACAATACGAAAGTATGTAATGTTTATAACCACCAGAGGCAGTGCGTACTGGATGATAAAAAGAAAATATATGTGAAGGCTCCTAAACATTTCGGAGGGGTAGGCATGTGAACAAAATGGTTTCATCTGGTCCAGGAATGGCTCATCAGGAACGAAGATGACCTTGAAGAAAATCAAGTTAGGCAAACTTGAGATTATTCCAAATAACCAAATATTTACAAGAAGCAATACAGCCACTTTCATTTGTATGCCTGCTTTAAGAGGATACATTACAGCTATGTATCTATCTATGGAAATGATTGTCAAGGTAAACACAGACACACACACGGACAGGTTTTTGATGAATGGCGCCAAAGGACACAAGAAATATGGTACAACCCAGCGCTGAAGTAAAGCAGCTTGGAATTGAAATGGTATGGAAAACACTCCAATGATGACATCAGCAAATGCAAGGTTGGCAATGAAAATGTTGGTAATGGACTGCATTTTCTTGTTTCTAAAAATCACAAACATAACCATAACATTTCCTAGTACAGCTATTAAAGAGATTGATCCATAAAGAAAAGCCAATAGGACCAAAAGTCCGGTGGATACTTGATGTGGTCTTTCTTGCTCATTGCCACCCTCCTTCGTCGAATTCGAGATATTTCTCAAAAGAATTTCAATTATGGTTAAATTTAAATTGACATTATATCCATCCATCATCATATTTTTGAGCATCAATTATCACAGAAGGACACCTTAAAATGATAAGCCTAAATTGAATTTGAAATTCTGTACATTGTAATGGCTGAGATGATGATCAGTAGGTCCATCGTGCAAGAGATTCTTGTTCGGATTGATTTATATCATACTATGCCTTTACTATATACCATGACCACCCATTTAATGAATGCAAGATGAAACCCGTGGGGAACATTGGAAATCAATGCTACTTATGAATCAATCAGTAGATTTCATTAAAAGACGACCACATATTTCTAGCAAATACAGAACACACTCTGCTGGTCAGAGGGCTAAAGGGCTTATAACATTCGGATTTAATTTTGTGTATTTTTTTTTTCAATGTGTGTTTATATTACTAGATGGACTTTCTGCATTATTTCTGATTGTACTATATCTTGACTTCACAATTTTAGTATTTATCTACTTTATTTGTGTATATGTACATGTATTTGCATTGACATTCATTGACATAACATAAAAATTATTTATTCATCGCATTGTGATTATATAAAGACATTGCTAATAAGAATATAAGAAAAAAAACACACCCTCAAGATATATGAAATCAAACGTGTCCCAGAAAAGATCATATATGAACATGTACATAAACAGTCTGGTTTTTATTAATTTACTTTATATAATCGAATGGGGACAAAATGTCTGGATAAAATTCAACATTTTTGTTTTTCATTGTTGTTTATTCCATATTTTCCGAACTGAAACAGAAAATATTTACTCATTTTTTTCTGTCTGGCAATTTGACATTTTTTTCAAAGTTCCCTCAATTACCTAACAATCCAATAAGAACATGGCTGTTCATCAATGTTTAAAGGACATGGTTTGTGTTACTACAAAAACAATTGCATGGAGCTTTAAAATTTTTTCATCCAAGCCTTTTAGCAAATTATTTCTTTTGAAAGTATTGGATGGACCTCATTCATTTTCAATAAAAGTATTTCATACTTTGAATGAAATTGGAAGATAACTAATAGTAATTCATTGTGAGCAGACCAAACACGGACCCATGAAACAGATATGGGATCAAGTTTGAGGTGTCTTGAAGAGAAGGCTTCCCCTGTTGTTCGGACAGACCCGCTGTATGCTCTTTGTCATGATCGGGTAAACTGAGAAATTCATAAACAAATCACGAATGAAAATAATAACCAAACAATATGATTGTATGAAAAGCGTCAGTCATTATTCAACGTAGTAATTATTTCATTTGTAATTTATTTTTCATGTATAAACAAGGCCATTGTATCGTCCATAGAGTATGCAAAATGTCAACTTTAACAATATTTTGATACCCTTTAACACCAACTTTTTTTTTTTTTATCAATAACCTGCTTCGCTTTAAAAATTGTTCGTACGTGGAACATTCTCTTATGTATCGAATCAACTGGGAAACATTAAACCTTGTTTATACATTTGATTCATATTTGGATATTTGATGTTACAACGATTTCAACAACCAACCTAGTTAAAAGTAAGCTGTTCGCAAATTCTACGGACGTTATAATGGCCCTATTTATAAATACAATCTAAAATTGGGTCGTATTTTGTCTGATTTGTTTGATACCATAACTTAGTCCATTGCGTTTTTTATATCAAATTTGACTTTGGATTACTCCGTCTACCTGATCAATACATAGGGCCCACAGACAGGTCAATAGGGAATGCTTACTCCTCCTAGGCCCCTGTTGATCCCACTTTCTGTTTTTCCCTGTTCACGATTTGTTTTCCTTACTGGTTTTATGAGATTGTTCACTGTTTGTTATATTCAAACAATTTACATACAGGTGATCATGGTATATTTCTACATGAATAAGGGAAGATAAGGACAGAGAAGTTGAAGTTTATCATAAAGTTTAGCTATTAGTTTGTTATAGATGTCTTTCTCTAGTAAATATCCAATAAGAAATAGATTTGCCATAATCATTGGTGTCTTTTATTTCCAGTTCAATGATATACGTCTAATTAATGTATGAATGTAAATGAATATTACTAATCGATAAAACGTCGTCGATATATCTAAATGTCGCATTGATGTTTGTTTGTATGTTGTTTAACGTCCCTCTCGAGAATTTTTCACTCATATGGAGACGCCACCACTTGCCGGTGGAGAGCTGCAAATTTTGTCCTATACTCGGCACTTACCGCCATTGAGCAGTGAGGGATCTTTTTCGTGCCAGCACCTACTGCGACACGGGACCTCGGTTTATACGGTCTCATCCGAAGGACCGGTCTCCACGTCCCACAATGGGATTCGAACCCGCGACGTAAGGATCAACTCCTTACTTCGCGACTCTAGAGCAGACGCTCTCACCACTGCGCCACGCGGGTGATTAAATGTCGCATTGAAGGCCATAGCCAAAGACTTTCATATAGAAGTTTTTGAAAAATTCTGCTTCATAAGAGTACAAAAACAAGTCTGCTTATAATGTCAATAAAAATCCCTACAGTTTAAGTTGCATGCCTTTTTAACAGATATATCTATGATATTTCCAGATATTTTATTTTCATCATTGAATTTCTTTTTCGACTGTCCAAATTTATTTTTAAAGCTATTTGTATATACGAATATTGGTGTGTTGGTCAGATTTCGAGTATTATTGGGACTTTTATCACTTTGTTTACATTTGATAAGTCTGCATTGGATTTTGAGCCCTTTATAAATATAAGCTTCCTGGGTTTATACCCCATGTTAAGGAACTATTCACAATATAAGATTGATTGATTCTTTGTTGATTAACGTTCCGTTCGAGAATTTTTCACTCATATAGAGACGTCACTATATACCGGTGAAGGGCCTTTACTCGGCGCTCAGGGCTATTGAGCGGCGTGGGATCTTTATCGTGCCAACGCCTGTAGTGACATCGGGCCTCGGATTTTAAGTACTCATCCGAAAGACTGCAACTTTCACTTCAAAGAACTGCGAACGATAGTATTGTTCTTCCGCCTACCTCGAAGTCGTCAATTTTCAAAAGTTGACACATTTGAATGATTTTCTATATTTATATGGATATTTATATGAATTTTCATAAAACATTACTGCTTTAGGAAAACAACGAGAGATAACTCTATAATTTTGGTAAAACTTGTGTTTTTCACTATAGAAATCAACGGAAAACGGAAAATATTTTTAAAACATCTCCCCCCCCCCCCCCCCCCCCCGTGAAACAAAAATTCCTTTTTACAGGTAATATGGACTGTCATTTCACAAATTCATACCAAAGCTTTTTGTGTTTCACGGGGGGGGGGGGGTATGTTTACAGACAAAAAACTATAAAAATGCTTATTTTTTCACCAATTTCAAAGGGGTTCACACCTAAAACATTGTATTTTATTAATAATATATGTTTAATTTTATATGCATAAAACATTTAAGGAACATTTATTCATATCCAAGAATATTTTAAAAGGTGGTGATGCTTTAAAGTCCAATTTCATTGGAAAATATCGTCTACCCCCTTCTTTAAAGAGCTGGAATTAGGGGGTAATTAACTATCTAACACTGGTATTGAAATTATCAGTCAATTACCAATGAAATGTTCTTTGCATTCAACTAAGATTTTACGGCCAAATTGCCATTAGTATTGAATTAAATGAGTGTAAAATGTAGGCGGGAATCGAGAGTTAGCGTGCGTAGTTCCTTCTGAGCGCTTGGCGAAGGAACAGTTGCTATCTATTTTTTTTTTTTATCAACTTAGGTCGGTCGTGGCCGAGGTTTAATCCCACGACCTCCCGATCACGGTATAATTATAAGAAGACAATCGTCGTCCACTATTCCCTGATCGACATCTATTGTTGGATGTTCATTCCCGTTATGCAAGATCTGACTCTTGAAGTTGGCACTTCTGGTATGATGCAGTACTGGATAAATTTTGTTTAATAACTAAACATGTCTCAATTAGACAATTAGGATGGACGATCCAGGTTTTTTACCTGGAGACACTATTCTGACAATGTATTTCGGTGCATAAATTGCTGACAAAGCGGGGTTTTCACAGCTCATGGCAGAACACTTCCAATGATCCTTACATGTGATGGAGCTCGGTATTCTGACAAAATTATCCACAACAATGTCATCTGCTTTGTAATATATCGACTTAACCAAATCAGCTTATGACAAAAATACCGGAACGCATGTTTTCCTGTGTTGTTGTGACTATCTTGTTTGCTAGATCATTCAAGAATTACGAATGTTTGGAACACCAAATTTACACATATTAAAAATTTGCACATATCTTAAAATATTTGTATCTTTCTACAATTGAAGATAAGTATAGTTGAATTAAAGATATGTCAAAAAATTAAAGATAGGTGTAAGTAATTATACTAGTACCTATTTTTAAATGATTGTACATCAGTTCAAATGACCTTACTGTAATTCAATTATACCTAACTTTAATTCAATTACAGTTATATATTATCACATCTATCTTTAATTTATTTTTAGATAGGATATTTGATTTAAAGACAGGCGATACAATTCAATTAAAGACATGTAATTTTTTGTAAAGTCTCCATAAAGGATTTGAAGATATGTATAATTATATATAGGTTCAATTCAATTACACCTACCTTTGAATTGATTATACCTGTCTTAAATTCTACGTATTTGTACCTATCTTCAATTCAATGATACCCATCTTAAAATCTTATCTCCAAATGAATTAAAGATATGTATATTTGAATTAAACCTATCTTCAATTCATTTCGAGATATAGGTACAATTGATCTGAATATAAATTCAAATATTTGAAGATAGATACAAATATTTGAATGTATGCTAATTTGGTCCATTCGAATCACCAGCTGTTACTTTTGACCTTTCACCTTTTAATTAATTTTCGT